GTATTTCCATTTTACTTCCCTAGTCCATGTTTTCCTTTAAATTTCTTGATTGTTTTGGTTTGGGTTTTTTCCCCATCAAAATTCATTCTTCAAATCAGTGAAAAATTTTCACAGCTTATTAGGTCTTTTACATATAGACACAAATATATATACTAAATTTGTCATGGAATAGAGCCAGAGGCTGGATTTTGTTATTTATAAATATTTATAGAAGAACAGCTTTTCCAATTATTCTTTTCCCCTTAATAGACATATTAACAATCCAATTAATACATCTGTTATTTTCAGAGTTACCCGCTCCTATTGACATATATAGACTGTTTGGAAAGAACTGATCTTCTGTGATTTACCTGGAACATGATTCTTTCCCCTTCCGGACATCCTCCAGTTTCTGCTATAAATACATATATTCCGATTAGAGCAACTTTAGGTTGAAATGTTAACAATTGCCCTGTGTAATAGAAGTCAACGAGACAGTAGACACAGAGTCCAGGACAAGGCCCAAAATCTTGACAACAGCTTGAACAATACCTAAACACTAACATAGCTTGGTTTCGTGTTTTTTTTTGTTGCTGTTGTTTTGTTTTCCATAAAATAGTCATGTTATGATTAAGTTTTAGGAAGAATATGATCAGTAATAAAGATGGGTTTTCTGCATTGGTAGTGCTCACAACATTACTCTTCATACATTCCATCCATCATCATAAAGGAAAAATGCTCCAGGGTAAGAGCCCATCAATTTACAGTGGGAACCATGCCACTCAGACAGATGGGGTACCTTTAGGTAGCCAAAACATCATATATGTTCATCAGCAATGCGCGCTCAAGGCATGATTCCCAGCTGGGAACACTGAAAATTTTGTCCATTACAAGCTGTCTTTGGCTCTCAGCCACAGCTAATCCCTTGCGGGTCTGAATTATCTTTTTTAAATGAAGACCGGCTTCTGTGGCCAGGTAAGGGTCCTGTGTGAGCAAGGGGCACAGCACAGCAGGCAACCTGACTGTCATAGAAATGTTACAACTTGTCTGTGCTGACTGAGGAGAGAGGCCAGGATGCAAGGTACAGAATTACAAGAGTAATTCTTCATTCATGGGCAAGTATAGCATTCAAATCAGGACACACTGAGCGTGCTTAAGAAATGGTTCCTCTGCCTTTCATGCATTCATACACAACATGATATGATCAGTCACCACATAACCCACATTCATGCTACTATTCTGGAAAACAGAGATAAATCTGTGGTGTCACCATACAGCTGCTTCTTTCTTGACTTTGGTGTCCCTGGAGTTGGTCTTGCATCATCTTACTATGATGGGAAATAACAGCAGGGTTTCGCCAGAGGTGTTGAAAATACTGGGGTTGTGGTGTTATCTTTGTAGTCCAGAGACATTTTTCTTCATGAGTGGCCATAAGATTCTGAGAGACAAGGCAGAGAATGTCCTTATCTGCAAGGTGGGGGTTTCCTCCTCCTTGCAGTGAGCTGGGGCCTTTCACTTACCATGGAACCACATACAAAGTAAAGCCAAGTATCGCTTACGGAAGCTAGCGTGAGTCTATACTACTGAGTTAATACAACTTCAAGCTATGAGGCCTACCGGGTGCAGCTGCCGGATTCTCCTTGCAGCAGCCTGCAGACTCAGGCAGAAGCCTTGCCTGCAGCACTCGTTTTTGTCAGGGACTGCAAAGGGACGCTGCAAAAATGAAGCACGGGCAAGGGCTCATGCTGACTGAAGTCTGTGCTCGCGAACGGACCAGTTACAACCTCCAGCCCTGGGGAGATGCGGCTGATCGGTCACACGGGTTTCCCACCGGGCTGGGCACACCAGCCCTCCAAAGCGGCTCCTCCGCCCGCGCAGGAGGCGAGGTCCAGAGCCCTGCCGCGCCCGCCGTCTGCGCGCCGAGACGCCCCGGTCCCGCGCCCGTGAGGGACAGCCGGGTCGGCTCGGGCGGGTTCGAAGGGCGGCTCTGCCCCCGCCGCTCCCTCCCCGCGGGACGCGGTCCCGCCCGCCGGGGCGCCCGGAGGGCGCACGCGCGGCTGGAGCGGCGGAAGCCCACGGTTGGTTCCTGCGCGTGCCCGGGCGGGGGGCGGCGCGCGCGACCCCCGTTCCCCCGGGAGCGGCGCCGCGGGCGGGCCGGGCCGGCGGGAGGGGCGGCGGAGCGGCGGCGGTACCTCGGCGGCACCTGGGGCTCGGCCCCGCCGCGGCGGGCGGGCCCCTGCGGGGCTGCCTCCATCCCTGCACCTCCTCTCCAGCACTGCTGTTGTCTGTGCAGGGAGCTGGCTAGGGAAACTCGGGGCAGACTTGCCGGGTATCTCCCCAGCTGTGCAATAAGGAAATGGTGCGGTCGCTTTCATGCAGCTCTAGGGTGCTGGTTGCCGTGTAGAGGAGGAGGAGGGTGTTTGCCGGTATCGAGGTGGTAGTAGGAGAGACACGTGGTTTTGGTTGGCTGTGTGTTCCAGCAGCACGGCACAAGGAAATGCGGTGGCCTTGGCCTCCCTTGGTTTCACACTTCGATTTCCCAGCTCCAGTAGTTAGTCACATGAAATAGCAGGTCTTCGTTTACCTCAGACTGATGATCCAAACAGTAATGCTCTTAAAGTAACATACATTATCTGTCCACAAGTGGCTGTTTGGTCAGCAGTAGGCGAAGATAGTTTTCAAGAACTTCATTGCGATAAGGAGGGTAAGGTGTGCATATGTCAATATCGTGCCACATCCCTCTCCAAGCACAAGTGACATTTTTTATAGATGCAGTAGCTGTTTACAGGTATGCTTTGCTAGATCCTATCAATGAAAAGTAACTGGGTAGGAATGTCTTGCCTGCCTCAACAAACCTGTCAACAGACACCTAGCAACTGTATTGTGCCAAAGCCTACTGCAACCATCCATTGTGTAAGCAGGAGAAATGCCAGGTGTGTGGCGTTTTGTCATACCAAAAGTACGCTGTTGCTTATGTTAACTTGCTATTCCGATACCTGTTCTGTTTGGTTAAACAGATGAGCTGCAAAAAGCTTAATGACAGTTCTATTCTGACGCTTGGTAATATAATGCTACTTCTTTAAAATCTACTTTGTAAAAGAAGTTTAGTTGACTGGTTCAAGTCCACCTTGTTTTTTTCCTGTTGAAGTGTATTTTTAGTTTTAGTATCAGTAATCTTTGGCAGTAATTCTTAAGATTTCAGGAAAGTCATTGGTGTAAAAATGCATCTGGATCCAGAAATTGTGGGGGCTGTTGATTGTTGCTGCCTTGCCTTAGGTATCACAAATATTATGAGGAGTATGGCTCTCTTTGTATTTTGTATTCCTTTTTCTGACTTGGTTAGGATACAGCCTTTTTAGAAAGTGGTGGTTTTTTCCACTCTTAAAATGTGTATTACAGAGTGTATTGTTCAGTTTGTGTGGAATCTTAACATTGGTGAACATTGGTTTCATGGTGAACAATACAATAAGTTACTTATTTGTGTTGTTCTGCACTTACTTGTTCAAGGATTTGTGAAAGAAGTTCTGGAAGTCAGATTTCAGAAGTTATACTTTCCTTAATGAGCAGGGCTAAAGTGAGGTACAGTTTCTAGTTGTGTATCAATGCAACACCCATAAGTGAGCAAGAAACAGTACGTCATCCCCAGAGCTGACTGTTGTGCTTCTGAAGGTGAGAAATTGAGTACTGTTCATGTTGGGTGAATTTATGAAATACAATTTTCTAATTATGTTTTGGGACAGTCTTGATGCAAAATTGTATACTTTTTATTTTTCTAGGGTTGCAAAATGAGTCTATTTAAGCAGTTTATACATATTGTATACATATACGTTAACACTTCTGGTTAACACAAAGCTTTCTCATTTCTTGGAATTGACTTTCTGCCTGCCTGCCTGATTCTGTGGGCTCATTATTCTGTGGATGTCACACGAAGTGTCATATTGTAGATGGCTGTAGTGAACAAAATACTGTGTTTATGATACCATTGATGGAAGTGGGAAAAAAGAAAAGGGTTAGGAAAAAATTCTGTCCAGGCATCCTGTAATAAAAGTACTTTTTGGAAAAGCAAGAACAATTCCTGATCATGTAGGAAAGACTCAGTCATGTTTTGGTGCAGCTGAAGCTTTTCACAGGCACAGCTACTGTTGGCTTTCAAATTATTTGTATTTGAGTTGTTTCTTTAGAAGAAATAGCTATAAATTAGGGTGTAAAGAAAGAAAACCACAAAACCTCTGACATTAGTGCTCTGTATTTTCTCCTAAATTATTTCATTGGAAATTGCTTTGCTTGGAGTATTTCACTGCTTGCTTGTATATACAGATATAAATCACTTAATTGTTTCTCTCAGTTTATTTGTTGTAAACCTTCTCATAGAGTTTTTTTCTTTGTGTATTTTAGTTTTTCTAATGAAAAACTATGAATTTTGAGGAACAAAATTATATGAGATTAGCTGTCTCTTTTTTTTACACTGTATTTGAAAGAGTAATAAATTCACTTTGTTTGTAACTTAAATTTTAATCTAGTACTTCATTCCCAGTTATCTGGTTTTGAACCTCTTAGTTTTTCTTTATTCCTCACTTTATCTATTTATGCACGTACCTAAGCCAAGAAGGGAAAAAAACTCACTTTGCCAGAGTAAGTCAATTTTTTAACATAATTTAGTGGCTATTGCCGATGAAATGTAATGAAGAATATAAAACTTTATTTATCATTATAGTAGACAGGGAGCAAATGCATGTAACTGAAATACACTGTATAAAGTAGTGTAGTTTTACATAGACCTTTCTCTGAACCCTTACATCCTTTTAAATATGTATTAAAATTGTGAAATGGCCTGGAACTGAGATTTGAGGAATGCTAGTTAGAGTTAACATGTCAGTTTGGAGAGAGCTCTACTAAGTAATGTGGGGTTTGAAAAACAGTATAGAAAGTAACCTGTTTTATATGCTGCCTTTAAAACAAGTGATAAAAGTTGTTCGTGTATCACACTGTTTTCTGTCTCTTCCAGAAGATACAGAAGACAGATGAAAAATCACCCTGTCTTGAGAGTGAGGCCAGTATTTGCATAGTTCTGGCTTAACTGTGGAATTTACCATCCAAGGTATGGTTTTGAGGGGGGCTGATGTTTGTTGTGGTTTCATAATTTTAAAAGTGAGTATGGTCATGCAGGCAAAAGTAAGTCACTGAGGGATAAAAATTTTGAATATATTCCCTTGATAGGCATTCCTTCTGTTTTCTCTTGAATCTCTCTCACTGCTTATTACTTATACATTGTACAAGTAGGTCACTGAGGAGCAAGTATTTCATTAATTATGCCGCTCTGTTTTGTTTGTTGAGCTGATTTTTCCCCATTCTGAGGAGGTGCTATGAAGTCATGGAATCTCTGCTGCTCTGATAAGATAGAAAACAGATGGATTCCTCAGTGGTCAGCAGTGTTTCTAGCTACATTTGGCTTTTTTGGCCTCTCTGTTTCTGTCAGTCTGCATGATTTTCCCTTTGTAAATTCATGGTGATTACTCCCAGTCGCCTTCTTGTCCTTCATGTGTTTGAAAGTAGTTTCCAGGATTGTTTCCTTCACCTTCCCAGGGAGCAGGGTGAGGCTAGTAGGCAGGCCTGTGGTTGCCTGACTCCTCTTTCTTGTCCTTGAAAACAGGGTTTTCATTGACACTTGTTTTCTTAAGTCCTCTGGAATGTCACCCATCAGCATAAAACTTCCAAATGTAGTGAGAATGACTTTACAATGACAAGACCAGTTCTCTCAGCACTCAGGTTGGCACTTCAGCAGGTCACATGGAAGTGTTAGTGTCACAGTTCACTTAAAAATTTGTTAATCTGATCCTCCCTCTCTCAGAGTAAGTCTTTTGTCCTCTACACATTCCCACAGGTCTCAGGGACCTGGGATTCTAGAAGGTAGTCTTACCCACAAAAGAGCAAGGAAAAAAGGTGCTTTGACATTTTTGTATAATTTTGATACTTTCGGCAGCAGGCTGAAATTTCCTCTAGTCTTTCTTATGCTGCTCATTTACCCATACAAATCTTTCTCATGGAATTTCATATCCTTCACCAGATTCAACTGTAGAAGGACCTTGGTTTTCCAAACCCTATCCTAGTGAACCTAAGTGGTGTTCCTGTGTCAGGACACAAACTTGGTGTAGCCCCACTTCACCTTAGTTTGGCTGATTTCAAGGTTTCTGTTTTTCACATCATCCTGCTTTCTTTGGTTGCAAACCCTGACCACCACATCTTTGCTCATTCAGAGGTCACCATCTTCCTCTATCATCATTCCTTGTTTGTGCAGTCCCCAAGCCAATTGACCAGCCTCTTGGCAAAGATGCTTTTACCCCATGTAATTTCAAGTGGATCTTGTTCCACTTCACTCTCAGTTTTTGAGCCTCCTAGAAGGTTCTGTGGATGTAAATGCTGCACAACCACTTGCTCATTTGCAGGATGTCTGCTTCTCCTCAAGTTCTCCCTGTTCACCAACAGCATGAATGGAACACCACTTGGCTACCAGACTTGGCTACAGGCCAACACCCTGTGAACTGTGTAGTCATGCTTGGTACACTTCTGGTCTCCCCTGGCTGTGTCCATGGTGCCTGAACAGAAGAGCAGCTGAGCGTAACAGTCTAAGGGCCAGTCTCAGTAATATTCTGTCCATGGCATCCAGGATGCAGACCCCTGGCAAGCAGCATACTTTGCCAGGTGACAGGTTGGGCCAGCAGAGGTGTCTTTGTCCCAGAAGCAAGGAATCACCACTGTTCCTTTCCCCATGCTTCCTATACCACAGAGATCAGGCACGGATAGGTCAGAGGCTTTCTTGGACAGAGCTTCCTGTCCACGTGTGCTGCCAGGGCTCAGTACCTGCTCTGCAGGTCAGAGCTGCAGGTGGAACAGGAATGACGCTGCTCCTTAGCCGCACTGGAGCTGTGGGCTAGCTCTGTGACGCCACTCCGGCACGGGCAGCGGCCAGGAGAGGGGAACCGCAGGGAAATGTGATCCCACTGCGGAACCTACAGAGCTCCGACCCCTATCGGGCTCTGCCAATTCAAGTGTCGTGGGTGACGATGAAAGGACGGAGGAGGCTCAGTCTGCTGTACTTCCCAGGAACAAGTTTATTAGGGTGAGGGAACAGAGACAAGGGCTTGGGCTGGCATGATGGAACAGGAAAGAGAGCCCTGAGCACCTCTGTGCATCGGGTTTTATTCAGGGGTGGTCACAATTCAGGGTCCAATCAGGTATCGCGGAGGGAGGAGTAAGGGGAGGAGATCACAATATTGAGGGCCAATGGGGATGCAAAGAGGGCGGGATAACAACATAGTAACCAATAACGTATCGAGGACGGAATGACATACACGGAAGGAACTGGAAGGAGAGGTGGGGTTTACAATGATGGATGGAGGAGATGGGGCAGGGTAAAGACAGCTGACAGGGAACTTTCAGGGAAAAGGGTGGGGTTAACAATATTGACAACTAGGGCTAAACCATTACACAACAACAGGGGGGGAACAAGAACGTACCAACAAATCTTAACAAAATCAAATAAACAAACTGCAGCACAGGAACTCTCTGTGGGAGGTGGAAAAATAGAATCTTCCGTGGATGCTGAAGGGTTCAGTCTGCTGCCTTAGAAAGAGCTTGAGTTAATGTAATGATAAAGGTACACAAACATTAAGTAGAAAAATTATAAACTTATGTTCCCAATATTGTAAGTAAGAATATGCCTTGAGTAAGTAAGAAATTATATTAGGTAAAATAGTGAGAAGTTTAAGCTGTAATAATGTGACTTATAGGGTAGGCTAGGGATATAGAAGCTATAATAGAGGTGTGTGTAGCTACATGACATATCAGTTTATTGGCTGAAAGACAGACGCAGAGTGGCAAAATTAAGCAAAGATGATAGGTTATTAATTAGAAACAAGTTTTGTGCTAACTGCCTATTGGACCAATATGTTATATATTGCTCTGTGAAGAAGAAACCCATGACTACCCTGAGCTATGGCTGACTTGTTACTCCTCTCCAAATCTCACACCTTTGAGTCTGATATCATGTCTGGCTTACTTGAGCAGTAAATCATCTTAGATAGCATGGTGGTCCCATCCCTTGTTTTTCATCTCAACATCTCCTTTTGGTGGTGGAGCTCAGAGGCTCCCAGACTTCACTGCGCTCGGCATCTCCATATCTGGCTTGACAAGCTCTGCTTCTCATGCAGAGAGGCTTTCTGTAGATGCATGAACTTGGTGGGGATCTGGTCTGTCTCCTTTTCAGTACTCTTAAATGTACAGTTTGCTCACCTTCTTCCTCAGCTTGTCTGCTTGATGAGATGGGTCTTTCATCAATGTATACTTAGAAGTATATAAAATGTTTTTGGTTTTTTTTGTTCTAAACCTGCTGGTTGCTGCAGTGTGATGGATTGGCATTTAGAAAAAAAGTGAGGAACACCCATGTAAATAAGGGCTCTGGGAGAGGCTGCTGGAAGTTTCTTCTCTGCCTGAGACCTGGCCAATAGCTGGCCCATTCTGAGAATTGACAGTATTTTTGACCACTGAAAAGCGAAATGACCTTTGTGAATACCACCTTTTAAACCTAAGCCTGGGAGCTTCTGGCTCTCTTTGTTTCTGGCCTTGAAAGGTCCCAGAGCTCTGGTGCAGCTGCCCCCCACCCATGGCCTGTCTGGGCTGGGGGAAGGGGATGAGTTGGACTCCAGCAGCTCCCGGGCAGGGGATGGAGGCTGCAGGACATCGGCCCCCGGCCGGGCCAGGCTGTGCTTGGCTCTGGTTTCTCCCAGGAAGCCTCCGGGTCCTGTACCAGCAGGGTGGCCAAAGCCCTTCCCAGGGGGCCCCTGGGCGGCTGTTGACCCTCGCAGATACCCCCCCATGGGCCACACAGCAGCTCCAGGCCAAGAACTGTCTGCTCCTTCCCTGCGGCTGCTGGGCTGAGAGAGAGACACCTGAACTCTGACACCGTGAATATCTGCTGCAGTTTGGGCCAGATTTTAACCCTTTCACTACCCAGATGAGACCTGCAGATTTAATCCCTTTCCAGAGAGAGGAAAGTGAGTGATCAACATGTAAAGAGACAGCATAAACCATCAAAGCCAGTAAAAGAAGGAGTCGAGCCTCAAATGGAAGGAGAATGAGAAGATGCTTTAATAAGCTGAAATATTCTTTTCGTAAGGCCATGGAGATGAACAATAATGTTCTGAAAAACTCCTTTAATTCATGAAAGAGTATTTGGGGGGAATGAAGTATTTCAAAGTGTAGATCTGAGCAAAGGTATCCATTGATGAAGCTAAGCAAATGGTGGAGTACTTGTGATCCCATGAGATGCTGAAACAGAGAAAGAGAAGTGAGAGTTGATGAAGACCCTTGGCCCCCAAGGCAAAAAAGAGAAAACCTCTGTTCCCAGAGATGATCACAGAGACAGATGAAGAGAACCTTTGCCTTTGAAAAACTCTTCCTTAAAGTAATACCCCTTGAGTTCATGGCCCGTGAACACACTTCTGAGTGGTGTGAAAATGGGAGGAGGGCATGATGGCAGAGTTTTTTTCCCAGGCAGCTGCCATCATGGGAATGAAAAGCCATGAGAAAACTGTTTTCTTGTGGAGAACTCTCCATGGAATGACAAGAGAGAACTCTCTCTACAAAGACTGATGAAAAGACTATTGTATAGTTGGTACTGTTTTAACCACCAGGTTTTGTCTCTCGTCAGTTGGACAATGGAAGGGTTGAGTGGTGGGGAAGAAGAGTTCCTGGAGGTTTTATTCTGGTTTCGTATTCTTGTAGTTCTGTTAATAAACTTTCTTTATACCTTTTAAATTTTAAGCCTGGTTTTTCCATTCTCCTAATCCATATCTCACAGCAAAAGATCAATAAGTATTCTGGTAATTTTTAGCTAGTGTTAAAACCATGACACACAGCTAGCTTACCACAGAGACGCATTAAGAACTGGCAGATTCAGTAGTACAATAACCTCTTTTTATATTTTTATAGATATTATTTATTATATTATTATATTATTATTATATTTATTACATTGTATTATGTCTAGAGTCTGTACATAAGTGTGTAGTATATTGATACAATGCATGTAACAGCCAGTGCTAGATAGTGCATGCGTGCTAGATATTAAAAGAGATTATAGGGATCAATAGGTTTTATGATTATCATGAACTTAAAACCAAGTTTTAACAGCACAGCAGCTTTATTCAATATACAATATGGTTCTAAAAGCAAATGCTAGGTAATTCAGTATTATTAGAATAAAAATAAACATTTGGTACGCTGCTATACTTGAATGGGAGCACTGTTACATTAGAAGTTAGCAAACAAAGAGTTATGATAAATAATGCAAAGGAGAAGTGTGGAAAAATGACAGCTTGCTTGGGTTTGATTTTGATTAGACTTGTAAAAAAAGAACAGAAGACATTAATGAAATTTGTGAATAGTATTAAGTAGAGAAATTTTGAATGCAATTGAGGACAGTGAAACATGAATGAAGTAAGCCAAACCCCTGGAAACAGAGATGTTTGATAAAATTTCAATGCAACAAGTAGAAGCTGAAAGGCATAAAAAGAAATCCATCAAGAAATTGACAAGGTTCCTGAAACCCACAAACTGGGGGAACTAATGGGTGAGATTGGGATTTATATGAGCATTGTAATAATAAAATATGTGTATGAAGGTAGTCTGACAAAAAAAATAGCAGTTGTGATAGTTGTGAGTAGTGAGTAGTGGTTAGGACTTAGTGCTGTGTTGTTATGGAGGTCAGTTTATGCAACTCAGAAGTTTACATTATAGGACTTGGTGAGGTTTCTTCAGTCTAAAACCAAAAGGAACCCAGTCCACTAAAATGTATGTGATTAATTGAAAATGTTTTATTTTGTGATATTTTTATGATCTATGTGAAAGAGTTCAGGGTAATGACACCTTTCTCCCTTGGTTTGGTATTAATGTCATGAAGGAGGTTTTTTTTAAGCAAGGAAACTCTGAATTCTTAGTGAAGCTTTTGACTATTTAAGCTTTAAGAAAGCGACCATGAGGTGTAGGGGGGAAACTATAATAGATAGGTGGGGTGAATCTCTGTGGAACATAAATAATTCCCTATTATTCTTCATTTGCTTTTCAACCTTTTTACTTTGATGGAAGAGTTTTCCTTGCTGCTGCCACCTGACTGGCAGCTGCTGCTTTACCTATTACTTAATAGTTTTCTCCAATAATGTTTTTACTTGCATCTTGGTGATAAATGTTGCTTTTTAGCCAGATATAAATAATTAGTGAAATTATAAAATATTTTGCTACCTGGTGCTCAAAAAATATATGTGAAATGTTTGTATGATTTTATGTAATTCCTTAAATCAACAGCTAACAGGTTTTTTTCTTGAAAAAAATCTTACTTGAATGTATGGATTTGAATGTATGAACCCTATAGGTTGCGCTATACTAGTTAATTTACTTTTTTTTAAAATATATTTTTATTTATCTCTTTAGGATTATCTTCCCAGGGTGTGACGATTTATTACCTGTTTGCGTTCAATGGGGCAACGAATTCACTTTGTGGTTGACCCTCAGGGTTGGTGCTGCATGAGCCTAATTATCTTGGTGTGGCTGTACAATACAATCTTCATTCCAAAGGTCATCCTTTTTCCTCATTATGAAGAGGGAAATATTTCAGTTGTGGCAGTTTTGTGTAAGTCATTCTAACCTTTTTCTACTAATAAAATAGTGTCTCTACTTAACATACACAAAAAAAAAAATCCTGTCAGAAAATAAAAACTAAGGTGAAAGTAAAGACTTAAGGATAAGATAAAGGGTAAGAGTAGTGGATGTGTGCTACATTTGTGTGTTCTGAGAAGCCTATACATTTCATTTCACAGGTGTTATTGCAGAACTTGTTTTTGTGGAAACTGGTGAAAAGCCTGAATGTGGCTTTCAGGTCCTGAACTTGGAACTTTTTGACAGGATTTTGGGTTCACATCTCTAAGTGCCTGTCATAATTTAGTATGATAGTACTGGTGACTGGCAACAAACTAAATTTTGTTAGTTTTGTCATACATCCCTGCATGTTTTGCTGATAGGTTTGCTGGGGAAAAGGCTTGAATTACAGCTGGAGCAAATTTGAGGTGAAGATGCACTATTGGGAATATCTTCCATATGGAGGCTTTGAAGTGTGGTACAATTGGTGCTTGTGTGGTAAGACTGTGGCAGATGTTCTTAAAAACTGTAGTATGGTCATAGTAGCACATGCTGGTGCTATCAGAACTGTTTACTATGTTTTTCACTCTATTTATTGGGGAGTATTTAATGTTGTATACTTAATATCAAAAATAGATCTGGAATTGAATGAGAAAGCTGAATATTTTCCAACTCAGTTCTGAAGCATCTGTATTTTTGATATAGTGTGCTTGGTACATATGAAAATGACTAACAAATGCTTATTTATTTTTTTAGGTTATTACTTCTGCTCATTGTTTTGTATAGCTTCATTATTTAGAGCCTCAGTCGCAGATCCAGGAAAACTACCTGAAAATCCAAAGATACCTATTACAGGTATGTTAAATTGTTTCTATATAATTCAATGAAAGTAATTTTGATATCTTCAGACTAATTAGGAATAAATTTGACTGTGTGAGATTTAATGGAAAGCATGAGCTGTCCCTGCTAAATAAGGTTAGTATGATGCTGTTTTTAAGGTGTAAATTTCTAGCACTTCTCTTTGTGTAGTCTCAAAACTTACTTTTCTAAAACTTGTCTTCTACCTGAAAGTTCAGTTATGTAGGACTTTCTGCTAGGAAATTTTTATATGGAAAGATTTTTTTTGCATTCTAGACTTTCAAACATACTGCATATGCTACTAACTTGATAATACTTAATGAAAAATGTTTAGAGGTGGCTAGTTACTTTAATTCTATAGCTTTTGTCTAAGAAAATTTATACAATTTTGAAAATGGTGATGAAAGGTAGTCCTGTGCTGGTTTCTACCTGTGTGGGTTTTTTTAGTCTTATGATTGTATGGGCTGTTAACAAAAAACCCCAAACCATGGTGCTAATTACGTTGCATTTCTGTAAACTAGCAACTTAATGGAGCAAGTCTTTTCTGTCCTTGTAAATTTATCCCACAATTCCTGTATGGTATCCAGTGCTCCAGAGGTCAGAGGAAATTTAAAACCTTAATGATTCTCTACAGAGAAAGATGGCGTTTTTATGAACTGTTGGGTGCTATTATCTAATGCACAGAGCTTTTACTTAGGAGGTTAGAATGGAGTAGGGCTGTTAAACAGCATGAGCTTTGTCAGATTAACAGATAACACTTCGTGAGTGAAGAAAATGTATCCCATACAGAGGATGAATACTTCAGTCTTGTCTCGAGATGTTGTGAATGCCCAGAATAAAATTTTGCACTCTCTTCCTTATGTTACTCAGAATCTAGGATAATGTATTTGGAAGCATGATCTTTTTAGCCTTAGTGCTGATATGTGTCCCTGAAGTAGGCAGCTGATCATGGAAAGGGGTGTATCTCACTGCAATTCAGCTGTGTCACCTCTAATTGCAGAAAATCTTTCAGCAGTGTTCTTTCTGCTCCTGGAAACAGATCCTTTGACCCAGCAAAGCATCATGTTTCAGACTTAGGTTGTGGAGTCAAGAGTTGTAGTTGCAGGAAGAGCAACATGGATTTTGCAACCTGAGCTGGATAATGGAGACACTCACTAGTTACATTTATATTGGAGTTTTCATTTACCTTCAAAATACCAGGAGCAGTGCAAATTCCCTTTGTACACAAATGTTTTTTTCTAATTTAAAGTATCTCTTTGCATAGCTCTCCAACCTTGCATGCTCCATTCAGTCCATATGGCAGTCATACTTAATAAGTACTTCTGAAGGTGAAACATTTAGGCTATGTCATGACTTCAACATTTTGATTCCATGTGTGACAGATCAGGGGTTTTGTACTTTTGGAGGTAGCACTTAAATTCTCTGGTATTCTCTAGGCTGACAGGAGGATACGTTTTTGCATGGTATAAATTGTGTTAAAAAATGAGTTGGGGTGTGTCTGAACCCTTCTATTAGTGATTGACACCTTTGTGACATTGGATTTATGGGAACAGATTGTAAATCAATTTCCATCTGTCCTTAGTACTAGTTTAATGATCTCAGATTCTGGGTTTCTTTACTTCTAGTGTCCAAATGTTATTTTACAGCAAGAAAGACCAGATTAGAGCTTCCCTGCAGGTGGCTCAGAAGTGCTAAATATAACTTCATTTTGTTTACATAGGGACAGTGTTTTACAGTATAAAATTTCAGAATGTATCTACTGTAAATATTAAGCTTTTTTCCTTTTTTCTTTTCCCTCTATCTCTGAGGTTTGAGAAATTTTTTGTGCCTCAAAAATGTTTATTTAGGTAGAAACAAAGTTGAACAGTCAAAGTATTTAAGTTTCTCAGTTGTCCATCTCTTTTCCCTAAAGACAGAAAACATATGCTTTTTGTGACTGGAATTATTTGTTTCCCATGTGAAGATAAAATTTTTGAACATAAATTTGAATTTTCATTTTCAAAGAATTCCTCTAGTTTGGGTTGTGCAATTTGAGATACCAATTTGAATAGCCAAGCTGGGAACAGTACTCCTGGTACTTTCAGTTTCTCAGTATCTCTGAATATTAGCTTTTAAAGAATGTCACATTAATAATTTAAAAATAGTATATATTTGTAAATACAAGCCTATCTCTCTTTCTAATCTTTGGCTTTCTTTGATTGTGTTATGTGTAAAGTTGCTTATGGTGATACGCATGTCTTTAAAATGCTTTGAGGTGGAAGATGCTCCTGAAGCATTGTGTGTCATATTTTAGTTAGCTAGCAGTAGCAGTATTTCTTAGGAGGTTCTGGAATAGCAGTGAGATTGCATCCTGATTCTGTCTAGCGGATAATTTTTTCACAGTGGAAATGTAATGAAATAACTGATTTACAATCTTCCTTGTCTGAGTCACAGCTTCTGTACTGTAATAATTACTTTGTAGAAATTTATAGGAAGAGAGAACATTTTGAAGAGGGAAACTGGCACAGTAGCAGTAATATCTTCCAGTTTAATTAATGTCACAGTGGGAAAAAGCTTTTTATGTGGTGCTTATCCTTCTCAGATCATAGTAAGATTTTTTTTAAAAGTAGAATTACAAGCATACAGCTTTATTGTGAGCACACATTACTGAGTTTAAATCTCTCTAATGTGTCTTTACCTTTTCACCTAGAACGAGAACATTGGGAGTTATGTAACAAATGCAATATGATGAGACCAAAGCGTTCACACCATTGCAGTCGCTGTGGACATTGTGTGAGGAGGATGGATCACCACTGTCCATGGTAAAACCAGGACATTTCTTCTAATAATCTACTGTTGTTTTAGTGAATCATTTTGAATTTTGTGATTTTGACTGCTGCTCATTTTTCCTCTTTCTTTCCCAGTGGTGCTTAATCATTTAGGCATTTAAAGCAGAGAAGTAATAAATTTGAGCTTTCATATATCTACCAGTAAAACTCAGAGTAAGTGAAAATAAACATTTCTGCAAATAGTTCTGAAGTATCCTGTTTAGCAAGACAAACTGCAGAGGACAGAACTGACATCAGGATCCTCTTATGTTGATTTAGCCATTTTTCAAACTACGTTTTTTGCCAAGTTTTTGCTACTTCAGAGGATAGTACCAGTATAGTGTCACGCTGGCTTAGATTGGTACCGATGTCTGTGCCAATGCTTGCATGAAATTGCATCCATGTAACTTCTGTGAAGCAGACTATCACCCAGTTTTGAAGGTTTCTGATCTTGTACTTAATATAGATAAAATCCCGTGTTTCTTTTTCTCTTCTCATGTTGGAGTATGCGGGACTTTCTGAATAGGGATGCCTGTATTGTATTCTGTGCCTTTGGCTCATTTCTAAATCATATTTCTTTGTTATTGGGGTAGCCTATGTTCACATTTATTTTAAAACATTTGCATTTCCAGTTTTTGGACTCTCTGTAGTTCACAACCTGTGAAATGTGTTGAGTAGCAGAAGATAAGGCATATAACTGTGAAATTTTGCAGACTCTAAAAAAACAGTTTTATTACTAAAGTTTTACTTAAAATTGCAGCAGGATCTTTGCTATGTGAAAGTACAGAGAAGTGTGTCTCCTGTTCTAAGCAATCATCTCAGTAGTGCAACCTACACTTTAAGTTGTGGTGCAAGGGATCCAGTAGTTTGCTCCATAAACAATCATAAAGTCTATTCACAGTATCATAACTTTAGTATTAAAGTATTTGTATTTCTCTTTTTATATATACACACTTTGTTTCTCTGCAGGATTAATAATTGTGTTGGTGAAGACAATCACTGGCTGTTTTTACAGCTGTGTTTCTACACCCAGATCCTTAGTTCCTATACGCTGATACTTGACTTCTGCCATTACTACTACTTTTTGCCTCTGAAAAAAGAAAAATGGGTAAGAGCCTGTTTTCTCTGTGAAGCTAACAAATAGTATTGCAACGTAATTTGTTTTGGCATCTAGTTACTACACATTTTTGGTGCCTCAGCTTCACTCTCAGTGAAGAGAATTCAACTAGCTGTATGATATTACATACAGCTATAAAGCAGAATTATTTACATAAAGCAAACTGATATAAGATACTGCTACATAAAGCGAACTGATTTATGCTAAGTAACAAAATATTTTTATGATAGGGTGTATGATCTCTGTGTGTTAAAAACACAACACTAGTTTTCTTAGAAATCTAGGAAAGGAGGAAAGAACCAGTTAGCGTTCTTTAGAAATGATTATGAGTACTGGAAAGAAGTAAGGTAATTACTTTAGATGTATTCAAATTTCCTTTTACTTTCTCCAAAGTAGATTTATGCAGAATATAAATCTATCCTAATATCATGTTTTAAAAAGCTGAAATTGCTTTTTTAAGAAAGGAGAAAAACACATGATCATTCTCCAAGGGGAAAAATATACATTGGTTTTGTAGCAGCATTTTCTGTTTATTTAAAAAGGTTATATGGGTTAAGGGGGAATTACGTTTGGTTTGCTTTATGTGGACAATATATAAATAGTTATGGTATTTCCATGTCTCATCATCGGTAAAAGGAACTGCATACAGAGAGAAAATGGACCTACTGGCTGGAGTAGAATAGAAAATTAAGGAATTTCTTCCACTATGAAACTTATATTGTAAAGTCATTATCCGGTGCTCATTTATGCCTATTATCTGTAGTATTCAGAATATTGAAGAAGGTTGCATGAAAGTTGCTCAGTGCTTGAAAGTGCCAGAATAGCAAAGTTAGAACCTTTTTCTTTATATCTGTGTTATGCCATTTTGCTTATGAAGGAGCATAAAAACTTCTAGCCTAAATCTGAAATGAACTTTCTATTTGTACTGGACTACAACAAATACAAGTACGCTAAAGAGAAAAACCTAGAAAACAAGTTTAAATAATTTGCAAAATTGGGTAACATTCCAAATGTCACAAATGAAGAGAATAAGACCATCTCAGATATCGCAGTCTAAATTTTGTTGAGATGTTTTTCCAAATACTGAGGTGCAGAAGATTTTTTAATTCTGTGTTGATGTGATACCCCAGCATACTCTCTGCTGGTGATGTCATACTCATCTTTCCAGGCTACTGGAACCTGACTCTTCACGGTGGGTAAGGCAAGTCCCATTTTCCATTTTTTTGAACAACTAAAGTTCATCACATGATTTTGTATCTTACATTATATAAGATTTCCACTTTGTGAAAAATTCTACTTCTGAAAAAGGATTGGGCATAGTCTTCTGAGCTACTTATTTGTTCCTGTATCAGTCTGAAGTGGATGCGATGTTCCCATAAAAGTGAATGTGAAGATGGTATGGCAGAGGAGAGCTGAAATTGTAGGAGAACTGTATTCCTTGGATAATCCAAAACTGATAAATGTGCTATATTAAAATTCATAGATAACAAGTTTTTGTTATGTAAAACATTCTGAAGTTGAGGAGTTTTGTAAATCTTTCTTTAAAAAATATGTATTCTAAAGGAATTTAATTATTTTTTCCATCTACATCAATACTTCCATCTTAATCATTAAAGGGACACTAGAAACATGGAACAGAAAATAATTTGCTGTCTTCTTGGAGCATGTTTCCATAGGCACTGAAACAGACTTGTTAGCTTCTAATAGTATAATGTCGTGGTAGGTATTTCCTTTTTATTGTGAATGTTGCCTGAATGTATCACTTTGTGTAATTACACTGTGTTAGGTAACAAGACAAAGTTCTGTCTGTTAGTCTTGCTTTTTAAAAGTAGTATGAAAAGTAACCAAATTATTTGCTTGGAGGTGGTCTGTGCAAGAGAAGGAAAGGGAAATCATGTTGTAATCATGTAAGATGTTTTACAGTACCTAAAGAGGTGATAATAAGTAATCATTAATGATGACAGTTCAAAAAACTAGTATGAATCTGTATAAAACTTGTTCTCACCAGTATAACTGGATTCATTTGATGTCTTTTGGAGAGAGGCCTAATTTTAATATCTATCTAGCCCTTTGACAGTTGGCAGGTTAGAAGGCAGAATATATGTGCAACAATTATTTTAACTGGTTTTAATGTGTTTGCCTGAAGAGTGGATCAAGTTCCTGTATTTGACTGCCTAAGTTTATAGAGAGCTGTGGAAGAAATTGAGTATTTTGCTCTGCTTAGTTTTGTTTAGTTTTACCTATGGTTTTATATGGCTTTATCAATTTCCATATGTGAACACTTCAAATTACACTCTTCCTTTTAAAAAAGTGAATCTGTGCTATAGAGTAATATAATATTATTCTAGTATTTTATATATATATATATATATATATATATATATATATA